CTTTTTTTTTTGTTAGAGGAACTTCCGTTTTCCTTGCTTGTTATTTCAAATTCCACACCATCACCTTGCAACTTTCCGATTTTAAATCATTACAAACTATCATGTCTCAAACTTCACAAGTCATTGGGCGAAAAGTGAAACAAAAGGTCATGGGGTTTGAATGTGTTTATGAACAAAGAGGTGCAGGCTCAATCATGGCTAGCAAGGGGCAAACGCAAAAAGAAAAAAAAAATATATATAATTTATCAAGAAGCAACAAAAGGAAAGATAAACCTAGAAAAGCAAAATAGTCACCGAAGAAAATGCTTTTATCGTCCTTAGATATAGTTCGGTCGCGATCTCGGGTAGCTAGACAACAAGTTCTCGATCGAAGCATGCCTTGGTAAGGATCCTAAGCCGCTCATACAATAAGTGGTGGAGGCTTGAACAATAAATCTGACATGGGTTACAAAAACTACCTTTAGGGCTTTAAATCCCCCAAAGAGGGCAACGCCATCTTACCACAAACAAGTGAATTTGGGTTCGGTGGGCCTTACGAGTTCTAGCAACTACCTTAGCATAGACATATCTTAGAGTCAACCAATGGCAATCCAAGAACGCGGAAACTCTTAATCCTTAGGAATAAAGACATTCAAGAACGCAAGTCAAATTAAATTTTTTTTTTTTTTTTTTTTTTTTTTTTTTTCGCTATAAACTAATCTACCCTTGACAAAATTTCTAGATCTTCACCAAAATCTACATTACCTCAAAATTCATCAAGCCGTAAATACATACCTGCACTGGTGAATCGCCATGTTGGCGAATACCAGTAATCATCATTATCGACAGGGAAAACGGGGGGCGGACTCAGCGGTATCCCATCAAACCGAGAGAAGCGTCCCCAAAGCAGCATCATCATCAAAATCATATCAAAAACTCATCAACAGGATTAGTGAACAGGGGCAAAGTCAACCAAAGAAAACAGTCATGTAACTCAGTAGAATCAGCAGCATGAAGGTACAGGGAAAACAATGAAAGACCGGCAGGCGAGCAAGTAAGAATCCCAACCAAGTCACTCCCTACCAAGAGTATATCTCCAACTCATCAAAATAAGCGTACAAAAACAAGGGAGAGAGATATACTCAAGGACGCAGCCTACTGGCCACTAGAGCCGGGCTCACTAGGTGAGCCAGACCGACGTGGCGGCTCGTCATAAGTGAAGCCACTAGGGGGGCCGAAAAGGCCCCAACCACCGTCAAAGCCCGGCGGCCAACCGTAGTGACCTCTGTAAAGATCCTCTTGCCAACTAGGCAAAGGATCAGAGGGAGTGTCCTCGGATTGAGAGTACAGAGGGGCGGGGTGATCAGGATGTGCATAGGGGTACGCAGGGTCCCTCTAAAGTCACACCCGCCGGGCACACGATAATCGTACTGCCCGTCCTCCTCTGGGAAGCTGCGGAGCTCCCTACTAGGCTCGGAAGGACCTTGCAGTAGGGGTAAGTGGGGAGATTGTCCCCCCCCCAAGAAGGAACAGGGCCGTGCTGAGGCGGCCAATTGGGGTAGTTCACGGGGGGGCAATCTCTCCTCTATCCACAGCGGAGTCATAGAGGGCCTGCTGCTGCAGATGGTGGCCTTGCTGTGACTCATAAATTGCCTGCAACTGCCTAGCTATATCAGATAGCTGAAATGTACCAATACCTGCGGGTTGCTGGGTAAACGGCTGCTGCTGCTGCTCCTCCTGAACCTCCTCCTCATTACCCATTTCAACCTCATCGTCCCATCGACATCGGGCACTCGCCCGCTATCTCTCAAAACTCTCCACACATTAGGGGACTGACGCGTGAGAGAAGTGAAGTGAGGCTTGGGGAGGAAACAATGGTGGGCTCCTCTAACTAGCCACCTAAAAGCATTGGGGTTCGCCGTGGGGGTAATAAAATCAGAACGGCGAAGCTGGTCCAAATCAAGGTAAATATCCCCACTACTACCTACGGCCGTGCATAGAGGTAGAAGGTCAGTGTAACCTAATTTGGTGGCCAGTCTAGTGACCATCGCCCCGCAGTGTATGTCCCCTGGCTTTTTCCCCTTTGCTATGGCTTGGGAGGTTTGCATGAAGAGGAAACCCAAATTCAACCTCCGAGCATGCTCTGGCTTTGTGGCTATCCATAGGCAAAGGACCTCTTCCTTAGTCAGCTTCCCTAGGTCCTGCTTAGGAATGATAGAATACCCTAATAAACGGTGTAGGATCCTAAGGGCAGGGTGCCAAATCTCACTGGCTAAGGAAGTCCGGGTGTAAAACTCATTTTTGCCTGAAATGGAACGCCACCAAGCGTACTCACTATACTCCCCAAAGCTCTCATATAGAGGGTAGTGAATGTCGGCATCGGGGTGAAGGTCGAGGGCTCGGTTGAACTCTGCCAATGACATTGTGTGGGGGTTGTTGAAGAGTTGGAAAGAAATTCGAAAGTCGTCATTTTTCTAGACTATCCACTTGAAAAGACGAGAAAAACTCTAATGTGGGTTCTTTGTAGGTCATGAATGAGGAGTTTATGAATGACCCTAATCGAAGGTTGTCAAAAAGAATCCACAAATCATCATTAATACCGAGTTTTATCATGTCTCCACGATGGTAGTGTCTAGAAGGTCGCAACTTACGTTTTTGCATTTCCGAGTGTATGGAGGAGTGGCTTTTGTGTAAAAATTTTAGGGTGGGTAAGGCATTGGGTTGGTCTGACTCTTGGTTTTGGGACGATTGTCCCGACTTTGCAGTTTTTCTCTTCTTCCCAATTCTTAGACTCATGACTGCCCACCTCTTTTTTTTTTTTTTTTTTTTTTTTTTTTTCACTCCTTTTCAAAGCCAACTCCGGCTATTTCCACCCTTAACCTCCACAAAACTACAATGTACCTGTTCACAAGCAATAATAATCCAACCACGCAACGAATATAGCCTAAGATACTAATCAACAACAACAAGTTCAACAGAATCCAGCAATAATTTCAACAATAATCAACCAAATTTCGCTAATAACCTAAGATAATCAAAATCCTTACTTAAAATTAATCCAAGAGAATAATTAACTAAGGAGATCGAATACCTTTACCTTTATGCGGAAGATTGCTGTTTTGGTGTCGATTTGGTGAAGGATTTGAGTAGGAAGGGGGGGGGGTTCGTTGCGGTTGTGCCCTTGATGCCCAATTGCTACCTTTGAAGATGAACAAACGGAGAGGATGATTGATTGAAGCTTGAGGATGATTGATGTGGTATATATTTTGAGAATGATTGATTTATGAAGGTGGAAGAAGATGATCTTGGCTATGGTGGTGAGGAGCGGCCGCGAAGAGAGAGAAAGGCAAAGAGGGTTTGGTTTATGTTTGTGAGGATTTGGAAATTGTGGGAATATAAGAAGCCACCGTATTTTTTTTTTTTTCTGATATCCAGAAAGGCGCGCCCGCTCCCGATTAAGGCGCACCGCTCCTTAAAGAAAACGCGAGCCGCTCCTATATCGCGCCTAAATCGCTCCAACTTCCTGGAAATCAGTAAAACTACAGCGCGCCCGCGCTAATAGTAGACGCGCCCGCGCCTTCTTTAAAACGCGAGCCGCTCTGGCAATCGCGGCCAAATCGCTCCTGCCTCCTGGAATGGAAGTAATTTTCAGCGTATACCAGGCGCGTCCGCGAAGAAACTAGGCGCGCCCGCCCTTACTGCTCATGCGGATCGCGCTTCAGCCGCGATAAAATCGCTCCAACTCCCTGGAATTGGAGAAATTTTCATTCATAAAAATTGCGCGCCCGCGACGAAACCAGGCGCGCCCGCGCTTTAATGCTGCTGCGGATCGCGCTACAGCCGCGTTCAAATCGCGCTGAGGTTCTGTTTCTTTAGAATTCATCCGAGCACAAATTTCAAAATTCCTCTCTTTTTTTTTTCTGCTTTGCTCTTGCCTTTCTTTCCTCGTGGACACACGCAATCACGCCTGCATCAGAATTGATTGGGAAGAGCGTTAGGTGGATTAGTTCAAGCGATTTGAAAGAAAATAAAATCAAAGAGGTTAGAAACCGGGTTGCCTCCCGTAAGCGCTTCTTTAACGTCACTAGCTTGACGTACTTCACACACGGAATCATGGTGATTTGGAAACATCAATGAGAGATAAATTTTCTGGCTTCTCAATTAGCTGACCCTCATAGTATGGCTTGAGACGCTGCCCATTCACTTTGAATGGAGGGTACTTGTCATTGAAAATCTCAACCGAGCCATAAGGAAAGGTTTTGGACACTTGAAATGGACCGCTCCATCTAGATCTCAATTTCCCGGGGAAGAGCTTGAGTCTTGAATTGTAGAGCAGGACCTTTTGTCCTTCCACAAATTCCTTCTTGGAAATTCGAGCATCGTGCCATGCCTTGGTTCTTGCTTTGTAGAGGCTTGCACTGTCATATGCATTCATTCTCAGCTCTTCCAACTCATGAAGCTCTAGAAGCCTTTGCTCACCCGTACTGTGGAGATCAAAGTTGATTTGCTTGATTGCCCAATGCGTTCGGTGCTCCATCTCTACGGGTAAATGGCAATTCTTCCCATAAACAAGCTTATAGGGGGTAGTCCCTATAGGAGTCTTGAAGGCGGTCCTATATGCCCACAATGAATCAATGAGCTTACTGGACCAATCCTTCCTTGTTCTAGCAACAGTCTTCTCTAAGATGACTTTTAACTCCCTATTTGTGACCTCCGCTTGACCACTTGTTTGGGGGTGGTAAGCAAGGCCTCGCTTGTGAGATACACCGTACTTTGAAAGAAGCTTGTTGAATGCATGGTGCTTGAAGTGTGAGCCTCCATCACTTATGATTGCCTTAGGAACACCGAATCTTGGGAAGATGACTTTCTTGAACAAATTGATGACCACCCTTGAGTCGTTGGTGGGAGATGCCACGGCTTCCGCCCATTTGGAGACATAATCAACGGCAACTAGAATGTGCCGGTTTCCTTGGGATGAGATGAAAGGGCCCATGAAGTCAATTGCCCAAACATCAAAGATTTCAAGTTCAAGAATAGGATTTTGGGGCATCTCATCGCGCCGTGATATGTTCCCTGTCCTTTGGCACCTATCACAAGTCTTAAACAAATTGCCAAGCATCTTTGAATAGAGACGGCCAAAAGAGCATACATTGCAAAACCTTGGAAGCGGTCTTTTGAGCACTCATATGACCACCACAAGGGATGAGTGGCACATTGAGAGCACATCTTGGAATTCTTCATTAGGAACACATCTTCTCAAGAGTCCATCCACCCCTCTCTTCAACAACATGGGGTCATCCCATATATACTTCTTTGCTTCATGCTTGAGCTTTCTATGTTGTTGAGGAGTGAAATCCGGAGGTATGGCACTACAAGCCAAGTAGTTCACAATATCCGCATACCAAGGCTCTGATTTTGCCTCAAGAGCATATAAGACATCATCCATTAGGGCATCTTCAATTGGAAAATCGTCTTCATGTATTCTTGCAGCTCCTAACCTAGAGAGGTGGTCCGCCACCACGTTCTCTGGCTCCCTTCTTATCTCTCATTTCGTAATCAAAATCTTGAAGGACCAACACCCATCTCAACAACCTCGGTTTGGCCTCCTTCTTACTTTATCAAATATTTGAGAGCCGAGTGATCGGTATACACTATTGTCCTGGAACCAATGAGGTAGGTTCTTAACTTCTCAAATGAGTGGATAACCGCCAAAAAACTCTTTTTCGGTAGTTGTATAATTTTCGTTGGGCATCGTTGAGAGTCTTGGACAAATAGTATATAACGTGAAGTTTCCCATCCTTTCTTTGTCCCAGAACCGATCCAATGGCCCCGTCGCTTGCATCGCACATTAGCTCGAATGGTAGAGACCAATCCGGTCCTCGGACTACGGGGGCGGTGCAAAGGGCCTGTTTCAACCTGCAAAATGACTCATGACAAGCTTCATCAAATACAAATTCTTTATCCTGTTGCAAGAGAGATGTGAGAGGCTTAGCAATCAAAGAGAAATCTTTGATGAAGCGGCGGTAAAAGCCGGCATGACCAAGGAAGGACCTCACTTCTCTCACATTTGTGGGAGGAGGAAGCTTCTCGATCACATCAACCTTCGCACCATCGACTTCGATGCCCGCTTGGGAGATTTTATGGCCAAGAACAATGCCGTTTTCCACCATGAAGTGGCATTTCTCCCAATTGAGCACCAAGTTGGCACTCTCACATCTTTCTAAACAACGAGATAAATTCATTAGGCACTGCTCATACGTGCCTCCACCAACGGAAAAATCATCCATAAAAACTTCCATTTCTTCCTCGATCATTTCACTAAAAATTGACATCATGCATCTTTGGAAGGTGGCCGGGGCATTACAAAGACCAAAAGGCATCCTACGATAAGCAAAAGTTCCGTAGGGACAAGTGAAAGTGGTATTTTCTTGATCTTTTGGGTCAATTGGGATTTGGAAGAATCCCGAATAACCATCAAGAAAGCAATAAAAAGCATGCTTTGTAAGCCTCTCAAGCATTTGATCGATGAACGGTAATGGAAAATGGTCTTTGGAAGTGTTGGCATTTAATTGGCGGTAATCAATACACATGCGCCAACCCGTAACAAGCCGAGTTGGGACCAATTGTTGCTTATCATTGATCATTACCGTCATACCTCCCTTTTTCGGCACTACTTGAACCGGGGATACCCAATCACTATGAGCGATTGGATAGATGATCCCTGCTTCAAGTAGCTTGGAAACTTCCTTTCTCACAACCTCTTGCATGGAAGGATTAAGTTTCCTTTGCCGTTGCCTACACGGCTTAGCACCCTCCTCTAAATCGATCTTATGCATGCATAGGGAGGGGCTTATACCTTTGAGATCATCAAGAGTATAACCCAAAGCCTTCCTATGCATTTTCAAAACATTAATCAATGAGGAGGTTTGCTCTTCCGTGAGGTTAGCATTGATAATGACCGGAAAAGTATCATTAACATCCAAAAAGACATACCTCAAGCCCGAAGGTAGAGGTTTCAATTCTACTTTCGGAGCTACCTTACCATTGGAGATTTCCTCCTCTTCTACTTGGAAGACTTCATACGGTTGGGGCATCTCTTGGTCGGGGGTTGTCTCTTCTTTCTCATCAAGCATTTCCTCATATAATTGCATCTCCTTTTGATCACCTACCTAATTCTCATTCAACAAGACATTCTCAAGTAGATCATTAGAAGCATGCATATAAGGGTATCTAAACTCATTCATCAAGTTTTCAATTGTATCTATTCTAAAACATTCATTGTCAGAGGAAGGTTGTCTCATCACCTTATTCAAATCAAATTCGATAGAATCATTGTCAACCTTCAAGGTCATCTTGCCTTCTTTGACATCAATAATTGCTTTAGAGGTAGCTAGGAATGGCCTACCCAAGATTATAGGAATTATTTCATCTTCATCCATTTCAAGAACATAAAAGTCCACCGGAAAAGTGAACTTACCGACTCTAAGGGGTATGTCCTCTACTTTCCCTATAGGCAATTTTGTGGACCTATCTGCTAATTGGAGGGTGATGTTTGTAGGTGAAAGGTTTCCCACATTAAGCTTTTGGTAGACCGAGAAAGGCATTAAACTCACACTAGCACCTAGGTCACACAAAGCTTTCCCCAAATGAACTTCATTGATAGAACAAGGGATGGAAAAACTACCGGGATCTTGCAATTTAGTTGGTAGCTTACTGGAGAGAATAACACTACAATTTGCGGTTAAGCTAACGGTTTCAACTTCTCTCCTTCCATTCAGGAGGTCTTTTAGGAATTTAGAGTAGTGTGGCATCTCTTTCATAGCATCCACAAAGGGTATAGAAACATGCAAGCTCTTTACTACATCTAAAAATTTTCCAAATTGGACATCAAGCCTAGACCTAGCAAATCTTTGGGGAAAAGGCAACCTCTCATTCCTAGGTTGGAGATTAAGGGGTAAAGATGTTTGATCTTTGGTGCTCTCCTTTTCGAGTTCCTTCTCTTTCTCTTTCTCACCCCTCTCATTCTTTCCGGCACTTCCCTCTAGAATCTCATTCTCTCTTGATGATTCATCCTCAACCTCAAGTCCTATCCTCACATCGGGACTCTTCTCAACATTTAGTTCACTCTCAAGGATCTTCCCACTTCTAGTAGTAATGGCATACATAGACTTGGGGTTGACACCTTGACTAGGTAAAGAAGAAGACGAAGAAGGGGAGGATGAAGAACTTGGTTGGGCAATTTGAGAGATTTGGGTCTCAAGCATTTTCATGTGTGCCTTGATTTGTTTCTTTTCTTCCTCTTGACTCTTATTATGGTTTTCTTGATTTTTAATGAAATTTTGAAGCATAGCCATCATAGGATCAGGAGGGGCTTCTATTTGGAGGGTTGAGTAGGGGGAATTTGAGAATGGGGCCTTACTTGGTCAAAACCGGGGGTCTACTATTTTGTGAGAAAGTAGAAGCATTTTGAGGTCTATTACCCCCGGAACCCTGATTGGAATTAAAACGTTGTTGGTTGTTGGAATAGTGTTGTTGGTTTTGATTCCAATTGGGTCTTTGGTTTGAGTAACTTCTTCCATTGTAATTGGAAGAGTTTCCCCTACCTTGGCCTTGGTTATCATAACCACCACCACTTTGATTCCATTGACTTTGATTCCAACCTTGGTTTTGATTCCAACTATGGTTTGGGTTTTGATTCCAATTTGGTCGCATTCCATTATTTCCCTCACGGGGCACAAAATTCATGGCATTAACATCTTCAACATTATCATCATTTTCATGGGGAGGGGGACCTTCACTTATGGACATACATTGTTGAGAATTATGATCATAGCCTCCACATATATCACAAAACATACAACCAGGAGGCATGGCATTGTAATTAGAGGGAGAAGAAGTAGAAGGATTCATACCATGGCCTCCCTTGGGAGAAGGGGAGGAAGCATTTTGGGAACTTGATTTCATGAACTCCTCCATTTGTTTCGCCATCTTTGCCATTTGGTTGGAAACATTTGTGATGGCATTGGTTTGCTCGACGGAATGTACCGTTCCTTTGCTAGAAGTGGCTTCCCTCTCACCTTCGTACCAATCCTCATAATTGCGCACAACTTCTTCTATGATACTCTCCACTTCATCTTCCCTTTTGTTCATGATTGGGCCTCCGGCTCCGGCATCAAGGCTAGTCTTACTTTGAGGGGAGAGTCCTCCGTAGAATGTTTGGAGAACTTGCCAATTAGGAATCCCATGGTGTGGGCATTGCCTTTGTAATTCTTTGAATCTCTCCCATGCCTCACAAAGAGACTCTCCACCTCTTTGGCGGAAACTTTGAATCTTTGAGCGAGCCTCGGCGGTTTTCTTGTGATTGTAAAACCTTCCTAGGAACGCCGTAGTTACCTCATTCCAAGTCGTGAGGGAACCGGGAGGAACATCCTTGTTCAACCAATGTTCCGCCGCTCCCATGAGTGAGAACGGAAACATCTTCAATCTTATGTACTCTTGGGACACCCCGTTGATCTTGATAGTGTCACAATACTTGAGAAATTCTTTGAGATGCTCATGGGGATTCTCAAATTTCCCACCGGTAAATTGCCTCTTCTCTATCATTGAAATGAAATTAGGCTTTATCTCGAAATTGTTCGCTTGAGTGGTGGGGGCTAAGATCCCACTTTGTGAGGCATAAGGTTCGGGTGCTCCAAGTTGCTTTAGTGACCTTTGATCACCCATGCTTTGTTGATTATGGTATTGGGCAAATGGGTTGGGAGTTAAACCTGCAAATGATTCACGATCCTCACTAGAAGAGGGTGAAGGAGTAGGAGAGCTACTAACTTCCTCTTGGAAAGGGTTTTCCACACTATCCCTAATTTCCCTCCTCAATTGAGCAAGGGTGCGCTCCAGCTCTGGGTCTATGGGCGCCAAAGGACTAGAACTTCGTTGCCTCCTGCGCATATACAAAGCTAAGTAGAAAGTGAGCACTGACAAGCAAGGAGTAGTAGGAAAATTAAACAAGTGAACTAGTCTCAACGAAGGGATAAACGTACAATGGAAACCGTTTCCCCGGCAACGGCGCCAATTTGACAGGCGGTATTTTAGGTCGTCACTAAGACACCTCTATCAAATGAT